TCGATATCTTTTGCTTTCCTTATACCTCCAAAAACTTCATAGTCAAATCTACGGAAGCATATTGCTTTCATTTGAGGGAAAAAAACCTGCTGCTTTTCTGACGAGATGGCTGAAAATCCTTGTACTTCCCGTCTGAACAGTCCCAAAGTCCATATGCTGACAAACTAATATAATGACATCTATATTATATTTCTCCAAACCAGTACGCAATTTGCAGGTGGATAAACCAAAATGACCAAGACCGAGAGACACTCCTAAGTACTATTCACACAATCTGTCCATGCTTTGTTTTTTTGTATTCACACACACACACACACACACACACCCACACACACACACACACACACACACACACACACACACACACACACACACACACTTTACAACAGCATTGTTATTAGTTTTTTGGCTTTTGCACAGACACCTCAGGACAGGAGATTGTTTGGATGGAAAGTGCAAGGATATTGATCTATCTTGTTATTACAGAGAAACAAAGCAGATTTTGAGCCTGCAGGGAAATCTTCACCACACATATTTTGAAACAAGTAAAACAAAAACCTTGTTTGGCGTGTTAGCAAACTAATCAGGACTAAACATGAAGTACAATCAAGGCTGATGGGAATGTGATTAGTTTAGTGAGGAGTGGACCAAAAGTGCTGCAGTGAGATTTAGACCTGGTGGTGCCAGAGAAAATATTATAATATCATTTAAGTGATTATATCCCACAGGTTTTGAGACATATATCTACTAATTCCAGAAATCTTGCAAACTGCTGACCTGATTGCCTTCACACTTGGCCGTTGTATCGTTGAGGGCCCAAGAACGCGCAAAGCCAATTTGGTGCCAGTTTGAATAAACAGGAGACCAGTACCCTGCAGCAGAGGCAGCTGGGACTCATCAGTGTGAGTGACATTGTTGATTACAACAACAGCACGTTCACAGCAACGACAACTCATTCTCCAGTTCGAGGTTCTGCGTACTGAGTCGAGTTACACTGAACCAAACAGGTGAACAGCTCTTTGTGCAGCAGCTGGGATGGTGCAGCTCCAGGGTTCTGCAGACCGAGTCCTGCGGCTGGTCTTTACTTGCTGTGGCTCAATTACTGCAGCCCATCTCAAAAAAACAGGTTAGGTACAGACACTGCATAGAGCCACTGCAGTTTCATTTAAAACCGCAAATGTCAACATCTTGGTGACACTCAAGAAAAACCCAGGGGGCCACATAAGAACTCATCCTGAACTGAACAAACCCCAGTCTACCCATAAACCTATGCTGCTAGTGTGGATACAAATATTGCTGTGCTGTCTACTTCACAGTCCGTTACTAGATAAAAGAGACAGTGTAAGAAGTTCACTTGCTGTCACCTTGTTGGAGCTCTTCTGTAGTAAGGAGTCGTGCTCCGCCTGCAGCTTGCTCTCAATCTCTTCCCATTTCCGCTCTCTATCCTTGAAGAGGATCCTGGAGGCCAGGCAGGCACAAAAATAGATGAAAGTAAAAGATGTGAAAGAAATGTTTAATATAGCTCTTGATTGTTGACTGCTGTTTTTAGTGGACTGTTAAAGTGATTTAATTCAGGCAGTGTCTGCAGATTGTAGAATGAATAAAGGCCTTTCAGTTGTCATCCTGTGAGTTATAATAAGAGAAGTGTCTGGTTGTCAGAGTACACCTTGATGATGTGCCACTCAGACTCTGCTTGTTAACCCAGTTCCAACATAAAACAGACAGGAAACTTCAAAAAATATACAGTATGTTCTTGTTTGGCAACTCTACTTTGCATTAGCTGTTTTCTGAGTGTGGTATATATTAAATCCACAATGGATTACAATATAATAATGCATTGTCCTGTCAGGTGGACGCTCACCTGATTTTGCAGCCTGTTTTGTCAACAGACTGACGTATCCTGGTTGACAGTTGAGTCACAGACGCGAGGAATAAACCGTCTAGCACCGCCTGATGGATGATTTAAAGAAACTCTTATTTAACAGTGTGTAGTAACTGAGTAACGTAGATGGTGTAATATTAGTAAGAAACTACAGAAGCTGAATAAGCCAAATTATAACCATAATATAAAAACATTATTTTATATCAACTCAGGTTTGGATTTTTTTCCAATCAGAAGCTGATGAGATAGGGAAGTTGGCATGTAGGAAGCTCCCTCTAGTGGCAGTCTGTGGTACAGACTGACATATTAATAATTTAATTTCACAATAATAATAATAAGACCTCAATTGACATCTTCTAACCGTAAAAAATTGGTTACTTTCATAAATAACTGATGAAGGAATAGAGGTAAATTAATTGCAGAACTGCCTTAAATGTTTTGCAAATATTTATATGGAACACTTCACACATAAAATAAAGGCCTTGTACTTAATGAAAGCAATAAAAAAAAGATTATAAAACAAAATAAGAAAATACATTTTATCTTAAGGATAAAGCAGTGCTGAATACTGAAGCACAGACTCACATCATCTCTGTTCCACGTCTGTCTGCGGATGGATCGGGAGCTTTGTCCACGAGAACCTCTGGGCCGCAGCTCCACAGAGCGCCCGGTGGGTCCAGGATCTGCGGAGGGACCACCTAGGTTCAAGCTGTCATCACAAACACCCTCCTCCAACTAAAACAGAATGAAGACACATCAAAGAATATTATTTTGACATGAGGAATGTCTGTATCATTACATTTAATCTGGGTCACATGGAGTTAAGAAGAACTAATACATTATATAATGATCTAGTGCAGCAGGTAGAGAGAATGCTGCTGATCTTTGGTTTTGTAGAATGTGTAAACTTTACCAAAGCTCCTGGATCAGTGGCTGCAGGGCTGACTGAGTCGATCTCTCCTGCCACATCGTGGATTTCTCTGGCGAGCATGGCAAGGTCTTTGGCAAGGTCCTGGCTAATCCTGAAAAATTACAAATCATTAATGATACATGTGCAAGATATATTTCTTCCTGTCTTTCTGTAACAGCTCCTCAAAGTTTCTCAGAGCTTAATAATTGATAGCACTCCAAAACAACTCCAAAATTGTAAAAATAGCAGAAGCAGTATATTTGAGTACAGCTATTGTGACTCATCGCTGCTCTCCAGCTACATTTGAGTTCCTCTCACTTGCGTACCTGGCTATTTCCTCACTGTGTGCTGTCCAGTCTCTCATATACTCGTCCTGCTCTCTGGAGTGCTGCTTCATGGCAGTCAGGCCGGCAGGATTGGGGGTAGCTGGAGCCGAACCTCCTAGCTGGGCCACTCGAGTCGACAGAAACGGCTGTGTCTGGCCCTGTTTTGAAATGTGGCGGTTCGAGCCGTACTCGTCCTCCGAGGTGGAGGCATATTCCACGGGCACACGGCGCCATCGAGTGCCAGCTGAGGAAAGAAAAGCAGTTTAAATACATGGATAGATTTATTCCCTTTATTGTCATTGCAAGAGTATAACGAGATCAGCTCAGCAGTACAAACATAAAAAACAAACATGGACATTACATCAAGATAAATTATTGCTTGTTAGGAAGAAGTTAGAAGAAGATAGAGATTTTAGAAAGTGGAAGCATTAATTGTAATATTGACTGAGGACAATTTCTTATTAGTACTTACATGCAGGCGTAACATGTCCAAAAGTGGAGCCAGCTCTACTCCTGTCAGGAAGCTTGGAGGCGCTGTTCGCCCTGGCTCTTGGTCCAGGCACTGATGCCACATTGGGCCCTCTTAGTCCTTGTCTGATATTAAAATCTCCTGCCACGCTTCGGGAACCCAGACCTCTACTCCGTGTCACAGTGGCCTCTGAGTCGCTCTGGGCTGATGGGGAGCCCACCCTCGGCCTCCTCGGCTGTGCCAAAGCCTCTATCCTGGACATTCCCCTTCTTGCCATCCCTGTCCTGGATGTGGAACTAGCGGTGGAGGCCTCAGAGGCTATTGACATCCGGTCGATATCAACAGGCTCGGTGTCCGATGAATCCCCAAGCCGGGCTCGTCTCAGCAGGGACGACCTGGTGGGCCTCGGCTTGGGGACACTGACGGTTTTACTGGTTGCAGAAGAGGCAGGGGCCTGGGTGACCTTAGCCCGACTGGACTTGGTGCTTGCCCCTAGTGTGGTGCTCCCTGTTTGGGCTCTGGAATGTGAGCTCCTGGAGTTCTGTGTGGAGGTAGGCTGTGAGTCTGAAAGGAGGGAGTTGGAATTGACATCATCGTCCGTGAGGTCCAGGGAAGTCCAGGGGCGACTGGGCGGCGGAGGACCAGATGTTCTAGTCTTGACCCTCCTGTCATGGCTCTCTCTGCCCCCTGTAGGCCCCCTGCTGGATGAGCACACTACAGTTTTTTCCTTCTGCTGTCCAGCAAGGATCCTGCGTCTCTGGACAACTTTCCTCGCTCCATCAGCCTGGCTGACTGTGCTGGTTGTGTCAACGTCCGACTCTGGTGACATGGAGCCTTCGATGGACTGACTTGGTGGATCACCCTGGTCTGAAATAGTGGTCTCTAAAAAGGCTGCCACAGCCTCTGAGTCCTTCTGCATTGTGACGCTGTCGATGCCAGTCTCCCTACTCTGACTTCTGCTGCCTGTCAGTCCATCAATACGTGGAATGAGCTCAATGGGCACGTTGGCGCTCGGTTTCTCGACAGTGAAACTCTCCTGCCTCAATAACGGTTTCCCACCACTCTCCCTCGCCTTCTCCTCCTCCTTTTTCCTCCTCCGTGCCTCCTCCATTCTCCTCTCTCCACTGGTAAGTGGACGAGGGGGAAGCTTAGTCAACACGCCTGACTGAGTCGATCTCCTGCCGCCACTGTCCTGTGACTTGGCTGGTGAGGAGCGACTCGGGCTCCCGCCGTGACTGCCCACGCCTCCACCGGGGCGGTTCTTCCCCTTGACCATCTTCTCCTCTTGGTTTTCCTTCTCCTGCAGCTCTGTATCCTGTTTCTCCCCCATGTCTGTACGCAGGCCGGACCCTGGGGTCCTTCTTCCCAGGGTAAGCTCCTCACCAGGTGGATGGGGTAGGGTTCTCCTCTTACGCTCCGTGTAGCCTGAGGAGGTGAAGGAGGCAGAGTGGCTGGACTCGCTTATTTCAGCTGAAAGGAGAACGATTATTAGTGGATTTTACTGGAGCTGAAAAATATAAGGGTCATATACTTAAGCCTCAAGTCTTCCCTGCTCAGAGGAGCATACGGTCCTACATACCCCTGTCCTCTGTAACCATGATGTGACTCTCCCCTCCTGACCCCTCAGGATCTGTCCTGATGTGACTGGCAGCCAACGTAGCCCACTGTGAGACCCAGCGAGGACCACCCACCACCAGTTCCTCAGACAGCACCTGGACAAAGACAGCACAAAAGGCACGATAGGGAAAATTAAGCATTTAAATAGAGTAGCAGTGACTGTTTGTTGGTTTTATGCTAAGTAGACTGAAGTAAAGAGGGGGGCAGCACACAGCTTTTTTATTACAAATAGTTTCAATGGTTTATCTTTTCCCACAGATTGCAGGTACACATTAAAAATAACCTCTGTTAATAACACGAGACACAAATACACACAGCATTTTAACTGGGCTTTAAAATGAATGCAACTATGTGCACCTCTGCCTCCATGCGTCCAGGCTTCCCTCTGTCTCCCATCCCCCCAGACCTCTGGGAGGTAAGTCTCTCTCTTTGGTCAGCGGACCCCAACCTCGACACACACACAGCCTCCTGCTGATCCACACCAAACACCTGCAATACACACACACACACACACAAATTATTCTGTGAGATAACAGATCAAACTCGACTTCAGCATATTGCAACTTTCCTCTTCCTCACCTTATCAATCATTTTCCTGGCCTCCTCCTCTTCCTGATCTCCATTCTCCAAGTCGATGGTATAGGTCCCTCTGTCGCTATAATCGTCTCCATGGTGATGGCACTCTTCACGTGCGTTCTGCTGGTGTGGTGCCGAACCGCATCGCCTCTCCACGAATCCACCTGTCACTTTAGAGGTCGAAGATTTGCGACGGCGTGCGGGACTGTCCTCCTCCGCAAAGAGCCCCTCTGGCACATTAGCTCGACCCTCTCTGATCTTCATTCCTGCGCCGCCCCAAAGGCCCCACGGACGTTCCTCTAGCGCTGCAGCCCTACGCTGCTCTCCGAGTGCGTTCTCTGAATCGCTCTGTGTGCCGTCCTCATGTTTACTACCTGGTATGAGAGTGGCAGAGAGAGAGAGGTTCATGGGTCAGAAAGAGACTAAACTTAAGCAGGGAAATGTATATCATCCAGGTAAGTGAAGCATGGTGGCTATGGTGAGAGATGCTGCACAAACACACACACAAAAACACACACACACACACCTTTAAGACTCCTCAGATGTACAGGAACATCACTCTTCACACTTTCTCCGTCATCCTCTGCAACCGTCTCTTTGAGAGCCAGCGGCAGCTCGTTCTGGGCCAGCCAGTCAGCAACTTTGACCTCTGCCGCAACCATGGCCGTCTGCAGTGGACTCAGTTCCTCCCCGACAGGTCGTTTAGGACGCGGCCTGGTCTCTGGCCCTACCTTCGCAACTCGATCTTTGACGGTGACTTTACCCGACGCCCCGGGGTCAAACTCGATGGTGAAGGAAGCGTGGCCATGAACAGGCTCGGCAGCAGCAGAGGAGCCAGCCTCTTGTTCACGTGAGGGGGATTCGCCGCTCAGTTTACCTGCTGAGGAAGTGTCCTTGGTTGGGATTTCAAAGTAGCTTGGCTCCTGGTTGGAGGTCGTTTGAGAGATGGACTTTGTGTCTGTCAGAAATAATTTTACAGATATCTATTAAATACCTCAAATTCTGCTAAATATCAGGCAAGTTATAGAGGACATTGACATCCACATTGCTAAGTTGTTAAAAACTGAGATATTTCAATTTTCTGTCTGAACTACAGCCGTATCTTTCTTGTCATCTTTGTAGGGCAGTGTTAGTACCTGTTTCAGGGTTTTCTCTCCTCTGCTCTGAGCTCTTGTCCTCAGGCCTCCCTGGTTGTTGGTCGTCAGCGTCTTCATCTCCCCACCAGGCAGGCTGGCCATAGAGAGGGGTGCCCCTGTGCAAAACCGATACATCCCCTAGCAAATATCACAAAACGGTTAGTTTAACAAGGGAATAACATGACTGCATTAATGTCATTTTAATGTATTGATTCATTATTTCATATATTAATTGTTAGAGAGATGAATAATGACAATCACTACTTTCTGGAGCTCAAATTCAGGTGTGGAAATTGGTTGGCCTGTCTGACCAACAGCTTAAAATCAACCTAAAAAAAAACCTACGGAGGCCGCCATGTTTTTTACATTAGTCCAGACTGGACAAACTAAACACCTTTTGAGTTTTTATAACAAATAGAAGCTACCACAGGTTCTTTTTCATGTTTGGAAGGAGAGGGTGAGGTGAGGGGTGTTCAGCTGCAACATGCAATTTCAACACTAGATATCACAAAATTCTACACACTGTACCTTTAAGTCTTGAGGTGATCCTGCTTTTACCTGCCTGAGGAGATAAGGCTCACATGTTGTCCTTTCATTCTTTTATGTTTTATTATTTATTTGTATTTATTTGCTTTTATGTAATGCATCTTCTTTTCATTGTTCCTATTGTTTTTATTTGTATTCACTGCTTTTACATGACGTTGTCTTCTTATTGCTTATCAGTGTGAAGGCATCTTTGTGAATACCCCTGCTTTGTCTGCCAAACTCCTTGAAATCCCTGTTTTAAAGGTGCTATATAAATAAAGTTATCATGTGAAGATTCAAGCAGCTGAAGATTGTGATATGCATTGAAGTAGCTGTAAATGAAAAGTCAACTTGCAATGCCATTCGTAGGTTCATGCAGCATTGTAACTAGTGTCTGTGGATGTTCACCTGTTATCTTGTCCTCTGTCCTGCTGGCCTCAGGGGGCTTCACGGTGGTCGCCTCGCACACGGGTGCTGCCGCTGCTTCAGGGGGTTTCACCTCAGATTTAGATGCTTCCCCTTCTGGAAGCCTCTTCTGGTTCAGCTGAAGCTGGCTGCTGAATTTCTCGTGCTAATGGATGAAACAAGGGCAAGGAGAGTTTACACAGGTGGAGGCAAATGCTGCATAATGTATAGAACACGGATACAACAATGGGATATACAGAACATTTTCTTTTTTTATGTAAGTCATAGAATATAACTGGAGAGATGTGATGAATATTAACACAAAGATGAGGTATGTGAAAATCTGTCTTTGCTGCAGCTTCCTGGGAAGTTTGCTGTGATGACACGGCAGAATCATAAATCATGAAATTCACTTTCCCAGTTCAGCAGAACTCTTTGCTCTCTTTGACTAAAATCCACCTCTCCGTGTTTTTTCTACAAATACACTAATATAAGATTTCCTGCGGTCCTGTCATGAGCGTACACAGAGTATTTACACTGTCAGTCAACATATAAACTTCAGATACAGGTTTTCGCACTGCATGCACTGTGGAGTGGAGCGTCTGACCTTGAGGGCCTCCTCAGGAATATGCATCTCTCCTCGTACCACAGTGAACAGGTTGGTATGTGAGGCAGGTTAAGAAAAGTAAAAGACAGCGAGTTCTTTGCAGGGGTGAGAAACATGCACTGATCGCCTCATCTATTATGCAGCAGCCCACAGTTCACAGCTATTCAAGAACAGATCGTTTACAGTGTTGTCCATGCTCACTGACCTTATGCTGTGAAACCCACCGGGTTCTGACAGAGAAAACAAGACCACGCTCAAAGGATATCGTATCCAAACCTCAGTTTGTCGTCAGTTTTCAGCGTGACGTAGATCTGCTCCTGAATTCTCACGTCATTGACAAATGTCTGCAAATAAAAGATGATTGGAGTTTAAGCTCTGGACCTGCTGATGAATATCACCAGTGTTTGTTACTTAATGATTTAATGGACCTAACACAGAGTCCTTATCTAATTTACTTTAAACTGATATTTCTTTATTTGATTTATAATTAACTTCACCATGGAGGTTATGTTTTCACCTGTCGGCTACTTTGTTGGTTAGCGAGATTACAGCACAAAAGCAACTAAATGGATTTCCATAAAACTTGGTGGAAAAATGTGGTATGAGTCGAGGAAGAATCCAATAAATTACGTGTGGATCCGGATCAGGGGGCGGATATATATATTTTTTTCTACTTTCTTTAACATTGTGACAAAGGACACTTTACTTTGGCAAAGGTTTACAAATATTAGGCCAAAGAAATAAGACACATTGTTATTTTTAACAGGATAACATAGTTCTTGCTTATGATTACACATGATATAGTGTTAGTGTGAACTTCAACAAGTTATTCAAATATAGAACTATCCAGTTCCAACAAGGTGGTTTTACAAGACAGTTGTAGTCTCACATGCCCATACAGAAACTGAGACAGTCTTTGTGCCTCTTCATCGTACTGACCTTAAAAGATCTCTTCCTAATGTGATTTGTCTGTAAGTGCTGGAAAACAAAATCCACACTCCTCACCTTGTGTGCATAATTACATTGAAAAGTTCAGGAGAAGCTACCCTGAGGTTTTGGAAAGTCTACAACAAAATAACATGTAGGTATTTTTTCAAAGTTATGGTTCCATTTTCCTCTTTATGCTGCTCTCCCTTCACCACAGCTCAACATGGAAACACTGTCGGGGGAAACTTCAGCTGACTTTCAGAATTTATTTTCCAACAGAACGAGGCCTGTGGACTTTGTTCCCCAACCCTAACACTGAATCACTTTGGGAAGGGGCCAGTGAAGACAGGGGAAATTATTTCAGCAGCCAAAATCCATTTCAATGTACATATGGGCATTTTTGTATATTTGTATATATACTTTTGGACACTGGATAATGACATTTAAATGAGATTCAGGTTAATATACATTATGGCCAATATGATGTCATACTTTTCTGAGCAGTAAGTACATGAAGCAGTGAAGACACAGAGTGCTAGATAAACACACTCACCCCATTCAAGCTGCCCAGGTCCTTGACTTTGTGTTCGTCTGTGTTTGGCTCGTAGTTGATGACGGCGTGCTGTTTGTCCACACTGCGGGACTAAACCACACAAAATCCAGTCAATCACTGTAATCCAAGCTAATCTGCACTGCTTCAGATCATAATCCAGGCAGATGAAGGATGACAGCTCCGAGGCCTTGTGTCCAGTGGTGTTATAGGCTACAGCTCCGTACCTGAAGCATGAGCTCGCAGTCGTCCCTCCCCACAAAGATCATCTCCCTGGGGAGACGATGGCGCGTCCCCCCGCAGCTCACCAGGAACCAGGAAGTTAGACTCATTTCTGCGTCGTGAGGTCACCTTTGACCCTTAATGCATCTTGCTGAAAACAGGAAGAGCGTTAGACTGCCTAGATCCATCCATCTATTGTTGAAAAAGATATGCACAAACAGAATGTGAATGAGGCCTATAGCTTCATACAATTAGAGCAAGCACATTTAACATCTGTTTAATCTGTGCGTGTTTATGGGTGAATATGTGTGGGCGTGTGTGTGTGTGTCATTTACACTGTAGCTATTTCAGGTATGACCCGAGGACACTAACGCACTTATCTCGGCCTGTCTTACGACTAACAACATGAAATAGGAACCGTGAGTGTAAAACTCCACAAACAGATCACAGAATTCCACACATCATCCTCCTTAACTTGCAAATCGAATTAACTCGCCCCGGTCTCTAACTCCAAGGCCCAAACACTGACAGAAAAGAGGAGGAGGAGTCCGATATTTCATAAGAAGGAAGGATGGGGTGAGAATGACTGATAAGAGGGAGATCAGAACACAGATAGCATAAGGATGTGGGTCAAAACAAACGTGGGCTTGCTGAGAGCAAGGTGTGATATCAATGTGAGCCTAAAGTGGCCCAATAACATTATAGCACAGAACAAATTTGGGCCATCTTTGGCACCTTTGGTTGATATGCAGTATTGCCATGGCTTACTAGTGGCCCAGATCTTGCACACAGGAGCAGACCGCTGCCATCATTTGACACGGTATGTGGGCCGGATGACGGTGTGGCAGTATGGCCAAAATCTATGCCAAAACAATTTTGCTATGTGGATAATAATGAACAGCTCATTTGATGGGAGGCTGTGCCGAAACAGACCCTCACACACGGACCAGATAGAGACAGTTGGTCGGAAACCCACTGAGAGGATTCCAACAACAATAATGTTTTTCCTTTTTCCATCATATGATTTCAATGCAGTTGTGAGGTTCCTCCATGCACGTAAAACTAGCACACTAGCTCTTTTCACTGGGACACAGGGCCAGTCATCCCTCTGCTGGAGCACCATCTGCACACAGGGCCTTGCTGACTCATGCTCATGAAGCAGCCATATAGGTGAATTAGCAGGATTTAATTACGCACACTTTGTCATATCTCCTGTTTGTGCATCAGCTCAGTCCCAATGAGACCTGACAGCAGCTCTTCTCTCTCTCTCTCTCTCTCTCTGTGTCTGCCTGTGTGCATGCATGGCTGTAGCTGTGTTCTTAACCCTTTCTGTGGCCTGGGCTTCTGCTTGGCCCAGATTTCCACTTGGCCGCACACGGCCCAGCAGCATCACTCAGATATGAATCCTCTCTCTGCAGATGACAACACATCAACTGTGCTTGCGAGGCTGCGGACGCTTATGATGGGTTACAGTCGGCCAATGAGAGAGGCTGAAAATTAGCCCGTGTTAGGCCACGTCTGAGTCCAGCGTTTGTCATGGATTCGTTTAATAATGATCCACTGATATGATGTAATGATATGGAGGATAAAAACAAGCAATGCATATGATTGTGTGAGTTCATACCTTTGCTACAGTGGAGCCTGTCTGCTGTGGATGCTGATTAGCGACTTGTCATCTGACGCGTATTGATCCTCACGGTTCAGGACATTTGCGCACGTCTCTGTGAGACAAAAACACACATTTACCATCACTTGTCGTTATGGAACCAGGTGAAGGAGCTGATGTCTGTTCTTCGTCTGTCCTCTTTATGGTCGACACACAGCCTGGGTCTGTCGCGATGCTCATTTCACCGTCTCCACCGTCAGAACCGAGGACGCAGCAGATTGCACCGGCACCGGCTCGTTGGAATAGACACACACATAAAGAGAAGGGGGAATAAGCACAGGAGCACACATGCCACTCACCGGCAGATCCACGGTCAATCAGCATCCGATCTGTGGGAGGATTGTGGACAGAGCTCCTGCTGCTGCCCAGCCCAGCTCCTCCAGCACTGATGCGTCTTGGCCTCACGGTGGCGCTGTGGGCTCGTGTAGGAAGGACACATGATGTTATGTAATAATGTAATGACAGCAAAACAGTAGGAAGTTAACGAGGGCCTTTTATTAGATTAGTGCTTTTGGGCAATACTACTAAAATAGTCCGTTTTTAGAAGTGCAATATTTCGACTCATGTGCAGTACATGTTATACTTTACTACTACGTTTGATTGTATATTTGATACTATAATCATGCATGTAGGAAGCTGGCACAATAATTGATCTTATATTAATAAATACCAATCCTTATATATACAAAATTAAAATGTTTAGCTTCATATTAATCTTGACATCATGTGCAATATTCCACTTTATCATTACCACTAACTGCCACTTTAGTTGTTCTTCCTCTCTCACATCTCACAACTTATTGTATTTCTATTGTTATTTCTATCAGGCACTGGTTCTGCATATGCAATTACAATTTTCAATTTGATTTATAAAACACTTAATATTTTTTTTCTTATATCTTTGTAGACTTAATACTCTATTTATATTCTTACAAAACTGAGAAGGAGATGACACTTCTGCTGGTGTTGCATGATAACAATACTACTACTACTACTACTACTAATAATAATAATAATAACATGCCGTGCTTGCATTGAGATGCATATTTAGAGTCAACCTCAAATTAAGACATTAGATGGCGCCAGAGTGCTGTGAATGCGAGCTTCAGTTTCAGATGCTGAGTCTGATCCATTATGAGTCACTTACATGGCATCAACACTTATTAACACTTCAGTCTAAATAGCAATAAAGCCAAAGCATACTACTATGCGGAAGTTAGGTTTCATTGGTTTATAGGTTAGATATCAATTATTTCTATTGCAAGTAACAGCTGATTGTTATTTATGGGCCCTGATCTGTGTTAAATTAAGCTGTTATAGGCTGTAGCCTACAGTGGGCCATGTGACTAATCAGTGTGGTAAAGTGTGTTTAGATTATTTTCCATATTATGTAAATCTATAATTACAACAATAGGAGCCCATGCAGGCGATGCAGAATAGAAACCTGTGCTACCTCCAGGCTACAGCTGACTCTGACTGTAGCTGCGTAGACGTTCCATTACACAGCCTATCATTTAAAGTGCAGACACACTTCATCGGTGCATTAATCCTCAGTGGTGCTGTTGAACCATGGAAACCTTTTTTTCTTTTACTTTGGCTTTAATGTAAAATAAACATTATGCTTTGTAGCTGCAGCCAAAGAGGCAGTGAGACAGTGAGGGAGGAGTGCAGTTATCTTTAAAAAAAAATCCTATGACTTTTGTCATAATTAGGTACATTTCTGTTGTTTTTTGCTCCCAAATTGAAATATCAGAAGCTATTTTCCTGATTGTAAGTCTAAAGGAAATCAGTATCAGTGCTCCTGTAGGCCGAGTAAAGGTTTATCACTTAACAATGCAGCAATAAAAACTCGCCATATACTATAATTTACACAGTAATTATCAGAATCAGCGGAATAAAACAGTAGAGTAACTTTTCCACAGTGTGTTTTCTAATGTGCCTCTTGACTGTATCTGTTATAGAAATGATTGCTCTCATCTATCACACAGGATACCTGTGAAAGATGAAAACAAAGATCAGATGAGTTAAATAGTGACTCAGGTGCATTGTTCACACAGATTCATCATCTTTAACACACTGTTTACCAATACAAAATCAATTCATATCTACATCAGAGGATGTATGATGACTATACAGGCTAAAATCTATGTTTCTCAAAAACATGTTTCTCCATCAATAGGTTAAAATCCAATGCTTTCAACCCAGGACATACTATTGTATATTGCATGGAAATTCAAATATATATGTTATATCTTCCCTCTCTTTAAGGTTAAGATTTAAGTTTGACAGAAACCAAAGTAAGTAAATACACTCTGCAGCCAACAAATAGACATGAGGGAAACAGTCACTGATCCATTTCAGAAAGATAACATCACCACAAAATAAACACGTGCCATAATGGCAGTGTAACAACATTTAGTAAAGAGTCTATCAATTAAATTGATATAAAAACACAAACTCTCATCATCACATCAAAATACAAGCTCCAGTGTATTATTTGCATAATCACTGCATATTCATGTCAACTTTGATGGACGTGAATGACACGGGGATGTTGGATTTATCCTCCAGCACATCCCTGCAGCGTAACACACTGTTTCTACTGCTCCTCCGCTTCCTTGGATCTCTCTCTCTCTGTCTCTCCCTCTCTCTTAGCCCAGCCCCCTTGATCCCCTCTGCCCATTGGTGTCTTCGGTGTCTCCCCCCTCCTCCTCCTCCTCCTTCATAGGTATAGTCCATAATCAGTGTCCATTGGTCTTTATTATGGCCTGTCCCCCTCCCACTTGCCGGCTCATGGCCCTGCCCATGTTCCCTGTGTCTCACAGCGCGTCCATCTCCTGACGTTCAAGTTCGCAGGGACGTCACGTCCGCACTTGAACTTGCAGCTCGGGGGGGGCTTCGCTTCTGTTACCCCCCATCACTTCACTCCGTCTTTGCGAGAAAAGTCATGAGGAGCTCCGCACAGCGCGCCGCGCTCTCAGTCTCAGCCTGTGTATGATCCACAGCTTGTTCTTCTTTTTTCTTTTTCTTTCTCCCCCTCTCCTTTTCTCTCTGGATGTCAGACGCATCAATGAAGATATTTCATTTGGAGTCTATCTCGTAGGAACGGATTTCCCAATGTGAACTCAGCTGAAGAGCCGCCACTGAACCAACATGTCTCGCCGAAAGCAAGGCAAACCCCAGCACTTGAGCAAACGGGAGTTTTCGCGTAAGTGGAGATAAAACACGCTTTTCCTGTTTTTTTTTTACCCTCTCCTCATTCTCAAAGAGCCGCCTCTTCTTCTCTTCCCTCCCCGTGTGTAGGGCAACTTCCTCGGGCAGTGTTGATAGGTAGGATAGGGCTGCGCGCACGGATCCTCCGCTGTCCTGAGTGAAATTACAAAACGCACTCATAGCCAAGACCACAGGTTATTTCAGAAATGGTAGTCCGGTGAAAGTTTTGCAACAACACGACAGCTTCAACTTGCGCTGGCGAAGGTGTTGAATAACGCAGCCTTCCAGGTTTCTTTCGCCATTAAAGGGCATGCATGGGCTTTATGGTCAGAGACCTCTGCTTATATGAAGCCAGCCCCGCTGCTGCTCCTGAGAAGTTTCCAGCTGTCTCCGGCTGCGTTAAACCTGCTCCACCACTGCAACCTACCTGCACTGTGGCTTGTAAAAATGTATTTACAGAGTTAGTGCGGGGTTTGGACACAGCGAAGTGGTGTTTACATACCCACTTGTCCACAGCGCAGCGCAAAGACCTCGTGTGTGCGTTACGGACGGGATATTGTGCCTGTGCCGCAAATTCCTCACAGCTCTCTGTTTAACGTCAGTGTGTGTTTAATGCGTTGTCTTGTATCATAAACAGATATGCGTTGCATGAATCCACAGGAATCTCCGCAGCAGTCGCTGTTTAAGGACCAGGGAGAGGAAACGCAGGAAAGTCGTTTTTACGCGCGTGTTTGATTAAATTGCGGAGCTCTGGCTGAGATTTTGCGATGTGTGTGCGTGTATATTTTGGTTTTCCACGGTGTCGTGATACGTTTATGTTTGCCGGTGAGATTATTCCCCACCATTAGTGTTTATGCCAGCAGGAACTGCTTCTTTACGCGCGCCACAGAACGTGGAGACGTCTCCGAATCCCCAGATTGTTTCAATTTGCCCTCTAGCTGCAGATCAGCAGCATGTGTAGATGCTGCTTGAATAATTTTTTTCATCCAAAATGTTCTCTCTTCATGCTGCTTCCTATACGGTTGAAACCAATTATGCTCTCGCAACATGTACTGTAGCCTATGCTTTCAGGGCAATTGTGGAAAGGTCTGCCAGTGGGGGGCGCAACGTGATTGTAGTCCTGTGGGCCACTTCTGAACTTGAACTTGATCCACTTAATCCCTGTGCTGCTTGAAAAAGCGCATGCAGAGGGTCGTTTTATAGTGGGAATGAGAGATTATTGCAATATTTTATGGCCCTTGCATTCCTCATAGGCCTATATTCATTTTAATTAATTAATTTAAATACTTAAAAAATAATGCAGAAATAGTTTAAAGTCGAGCCTGTGTTTTCATGGAGCAATTCATAAAATCAAAGATATGTCAATACATTTTTAAAGGATTCATTCACTTGGCATTTATATGTGGCTTTGAGTTCAGTTTCATTTAGTTCTGCATCATGTTTTTACATATTCAAATTAATCTGAATGACAGACTGTTTGAGACATACATGCTCATGCATAGTTTTATTCTGGATCCAGTTGTGATCTTACCTGGTGCAAAGCAACACTTAATTACACATTTATATGTCAGAGAAGAAATTAGTATAGTGCTGTATATGTATGAGGTATTTATTTGTTTTTGTTTTTTATCAATACAAAAATGGCAACAAAAAAAATATTTTGCCATTTTTCTGCAAGTGCAATTGATGAAGTTATTGATCCATGGAAAGTCATAATATTCTAAAATGGCAAAGGAAGAGGTCTAATGATTTTCCTGATAGAGGAACAGACCCACTCCTGTATCCCAGTGGGAAACGTTGGCCTGAAACTACTTTAAATTCTAGCTCAGTCGGATGTCTGAAAAAAGGATTATATTTTAGTTTTCAAAGTTATTCACATCACTCTTGCTTGGCATCAAAATGAGATTATTTGGTTTGAAGGAAATCTCCCCACCTAACCCAGCCTCACACACCTCGCCTGTGTCCGCGGCATAAGCTGGTTAAGATAAGCTCCAGTAAAAATAGGGGCAAATTCCCTCATCTTTAATGCAGTCGAACATACAAGTAACGGGGGCCTATCTTGCATAGTCCCTCAGCACCTTCTCATCTGACCCGACACAGAATTAAAGGTTGAACTGGCGGCAAGAATTCATCACATCTTATCTCAACATCCCAGTCGGGGCGCCCGGTGTCGTTTACCGCGTGGCTAGATTACTTCTTTTTAAAATGCTCTTTCTTCTCTCCCTCTTCTCTCTCTCTCTCTCTCTCTCGTTCGGTACTTCAGGGACCTACTCCACATCCAACCCCTCAATGTCTAACCTTGGTTCACGAGATCCCAGCACTTTTAACGAAATGGGGTCCAATCATCTTGAACTCAAATTAGAATCTATTTTTTGATTCTCAGAGGTGTTAGGTTCATTAAAAAAGCGAGATTGGCAGCACAATAAAGAGGGTCAAGCAACTTAATCATTTGGCTGCTGCCTGCAAGCTGAATGTGTCAGTCCTTATCGAAGTCCTCTCTCTCTCTCTCTTTCTTTCTGTCTTTCTTTTTAAGAATATTGACTCCCTGTCCATTTTCTTGTAGATGTCTTCCATATTCAGGATTATAACATTAGATACTCAGTGTTCTTCTCTGTTCCCTGCCTTGTTTACAAGCTCTCCCTCTCTCTGTACATTATCTCACATTCCTCTTTCTTTCCGGTGCATCCAGCTGAGCCGCTGTCAGGTGTTTTACCAGAAGACTCCCACGACTCCCCCAGGATCGGAGTGGCCCTGGGTGATCCCCTCAAAGGGGACCAGGACCTGCTGACCTGCGGCCAGTGCCACTCCCGCTTCCCCCTGGCTGACATCCTGCTATTCATTGAACACAAACGGAGGCAGTGCCACGGGAGCCTCTGCACGGACAAGCCCCTGGACAGGCCGCCGTCCTCCCCGCTTGCCTCGCCCCTCTCCACGTCCTCATCTCACTCGCGGACCAACCACCAGTACCCACGGAGGGCGTGCCGCCCCGTGGAGGTGGCTGTTCAGGTGTCACCGCAGGAAGAGGATTGTTTATCTTCTCCCTTGCAAGGAATAATCCCCAAAGTGGAGAACATCACAGGTAAACACAGTGGGAGATTAAAATGGCTGCCATGCAAGAGTAAAGAAATGAGCAAGAAAAATTTGGGGAAGGTCTTAAGGTGTGTGGAGTGGGTCGGACTTCCCAGGGTTCACAGAGAGTTTACCTCAATACGAGAACAATTACCCTCTCTGATTTCATGTGGGGTTTTGCCTCTGGTAGTGAAGATGTATCCAATCTGAGTAACCAGGGTGTGAAATATCTGCTGCTGCATTTAGGAGCTGTGAATCTCACTCAGCTGAGCCGTGAACCCACACGGAGACAGGAAAATGATTGTGAGAAAGGGAAACATTCGCAGACAGTAAAAAAAAAGAGACACGCACAGAGACAGACAAAGACACAGATTATGAAAGAGAGAGAGAAATGGATTCTTTTGGTTTGTTGCTGCATCACAGATGTGCTCAGATCCTGTGGCCTCCACATTCGCTCTCATGTGGTGCTGAGATGCATCTCCATCCCTCCCCTGCCTTATTACACTGTCATATCTCCCTCTCCCTTAAACATGCGCCGTGCTATGATGCTAAAATTAAAAAAGGAGACAGGAAAGAATGTAATTATGCTGATCTGTCAAGAAAGAAGCGTTTATTTGAGGAACCCAACAACCACTAATTGTCAGCAGGTTTTTTTTCTTGATTCGAGTAATTAAGGACTTCTTAAGGCGGCTGTTTGGTTTTTCGGTCGTCCGCTGGGGCTAAATGAGGCTGGAGTAAAAACATGAGTTGCTGTGCAAACAAGCATGAGTCCCTTATGACCGGTTTTACAGAGTGGGGTTTGATTTTTGACCAGCCTCTTTGAATGTTTATTCATTTTCCTTTAATAGATCCAATATCATGTGCCAGACTGAGCTGATGGTCCGCGCGGTTGTGATTTAATTTGAAGCCAATTCAGGCTAAATGCACAGAGAGCGGCGCTCAACAATCTACAGCACTGTACTTGTGTTGGCCGAGGCTACAGCTTTGCAGATGACATCTTAAGGGAGTGTTGTTATCTGCTGTTAGCCAGTGAGCCCTCTGTCATACAGAATGACCACTGTTCATTAGTGTGCAGTTTGTTCAACATCTGTGCGCACACACACACACACACACACACACACACACACACACACACACACACTCACAACTCCAAACATCCGACATGCCTCTTGGCCCTGTCAGCTGTTTGAACATGTTTTTCTTTGCTCATTTAGTTCATCGTGCAGTGGAGTTCACATGATATCATAAGGTCACTAGCATTTTGAACAGGGTTTTATTTATAGGAGCCATGTCCCGGAGCATTGTGTAAGAGGATTTATTTGGGTTAATAATGGATAGATTAACCAGTGTGGCTGTGTGTGGAGTGAGGTTGTTGTGGCACCTCATCTGATTGTGTTATAAACTTGTTACAATGTTTACAATGTGCTTAAAACCTTTCCGTCTGATGATGAGGGGAAATGAGAATACAGTGTGAGGTGAAAGTGGCAGATTTGGAAAAAGGAGAAAGCTGATTTTTGGGTCAAACAGGAGCTGCGGCCACTGTGCAGGACAAACCACACATTAGTCACACGTGCATAAAAGTCACCCTCCCTCTCTCCACCTCTGTGTCCAAGATTGATTGGTCCGGACTGGCACTGCCAGCGCGCCACCCCATACTCCATATGCTAGCTGCCATGTTCTCTCACACCGCTCAGTTAGAGGCTGACACTGTGCTGAGGCATCTCAATACACACGCTGCATCTCTGCCATATACCAGGCCTCACTTCATTCCAGGGTAGTGTGTTATATGTTACACCCTTAAAGACGCTCACTGTATGCAGCCGCCACGGCCGCCCTCCCCACCCTCCTGCTGAAATGTCAATCCACGCAGATGGATTTCTCTACGGAACAGCAGCTTAAACAGGCATGGGTTTCGCGGGGGGATATGTGCAGGAAAGAAGCTGCTGGGCCTAAAAAAAAGGGAGCTGACGCCTGCGATGGTTGCACCATGAGGTGGGGGAGACGGGGGGCAGTTGTCTGTAATAGACTAGAGCTGGAGGTGAAGCTTCGCCCCTTAGTCTCCGTCTACACGGGACAGCTGAGGCCGTCTGGGAGTCTCATGGCTGCAGCTGGGGCTGGGGTCTGGGGTCTGGAGCCGTTAGGAGAGGGGCAGAGCAGCCTGCGTGCCGTCATTTGCATGATAAACAATTTAAGATATGCATAGGGACACCGTAGATTGTCTCCAGATTATGGATGGCCCAGAAAAAAGAGCAGATGACAGTTTCTCACACAAACTAAGTGATTTGTAGAGTTAGTGTAAAACTGGATTTATTTCACGGCATATAATTACTATTAAAGGGGGCATGGTGGTGGAGCAGATTCATAGTTTTTATTTACATTCCCATTCATTATTCTGTTGGCTGAATGTTATCAGTGCGATAAATGATTATTTGCTCTTCCAACATTGAGCAAGTGGAGCAAGATGCTTTTCATTGTTATGATTTAGGATGCACAGCCCAACCGCTGTATATGGGCTTCATCATGTCCCACATACCATAATTACTATTTTTACAAATTGTTTCTCTTCGCTACATTTTATGAGCACGGTGCCACATTCTTGAGCTCATATCGCTGCGGTGGCGTGACCGGTATTTATCCGTCCCAGCATTAGCACCTCTCGTATTCTCGCCCGTGTATGGCCACGTGTGGTAATGAGGCCATTGTAGCCACTCGAATCGACCACCATCTCACACTTCTGCCTCCTTCCAGCAGACCGCCTCCATTGTAACCTGGACTGTGAATCGATACTGAGTTAATTATGCCAGCCACCTTTTCCCCCCCGTTGCCTCTATGAGAAAGAAAAACATTCGCACAGCGGAGCGGTGATTCCTGTAACACCTCTCTGTGGCTGCATGTGTGTCTTCTTGCAGCAGCTTGCCTGTCCTGTTTGTCCCTGTGCGTTGTGGAGACAAAGGTATTTAGCAGGCTCCCTATTGGCATCATGCCACCTTTCTCCAAACCAAACCACCAGCCCCCCTCTTGCTCTCATAAGCACGCATATACACACTGGGAATCTGTTAGGCAGAACTGGGGGCTGGGCTGTGTGTGTGTGTGTGTGTGTGTGGGGTGAGAGGCTCCCTGGTCGTGATGTCTTCCTCCCTGTGTCCACTCTCTGTGTGTGCTTATGGGTCGATGTGCAAGTTCACATGTGGCGTGTGCCTTTGTTTCGGTGATCACTTTAATTGATAGTGAAAAGGCACAGGCGCATGCTATTGTAATTATTGGATACCGGCTAATATTTTCACTATAAACTCCATTGTCTGTACAAACTGACTTTAATTTGATCCTACAGCTGCTGTGGGCTCTGATAAAATCAGTCCTATTTTTGGCTGTGGGCTCCGCTAAGTCTTAATGGAGGTGAGCAGGAGTGGGGTTTTTAGGATGAATTTTTCATAGAGGACATTTTTGTATTCCGAAAGCCAAGCTCTAAACACCCAGAAATGTTGTCGGCGGAGATTCGTCAGTCTTTGTTGTCGGATTGAGTGTTAGTGGCTTTGGCTGCATTCAAGTGCTGAAGTCTCGTGGATGTTTACATCTTGAGTGTGGATGCAGTGTTCAGCTAATGTATGTGCATACGTGTGTGTGTGTGTGTGT